TGGGGGGGGGGGGGGGGGGGGGGTTCCGCGGCTCATCATTTTTACGTGCCTTCGTCCTCTGACCATTGATTACACATTCTTTCTCGCCACGTACCCCGTCACAAACCAAAAAAAAAAAGACCGCTTGGGCTTCCTCCCGTGTGACCTCGGTTCGTGCCCAAAAACACGCAGCACGCGCCCCCACTTGAGAAACTAGTAGACAGTCAAGAATCACATGCGTGGTCACGATATCGGCGTGATGATTACATCTTCACCTCCTGAAATAGTCGCAGCGCTCGTGTGACCATATCGCCTGTAGAAGACATAACCTTCACGACGATGGATGTGACACCCTCATTTCTTTTCACGATCCGAGAACTTTGTGAGCCCCGGTCGTTGACCATCCCTTACGCAAGAAACTGTGCAACAGTGGCTACGGATGACCCACAACAAAACTGAGTGCCCCAAGCTCTCGCCGCAGCGCAAGAAAAGAGGTTCGTTCTGGCAGAGGTGGCGGCGGCGCGTCCAAAACCATTACACCCAAAGGGTGTGGTGAAAGAAAGCATACCAGATTCCGTTGAAAATATACGTACATCACAGAAAGGCTACAAGCTCCCGATGATGCCACAGGTAGCCGAAGGGGGGTGTTGAAGTTTCAGCAGTGAGTCGGAGGGGGGGGGGGGGGGGGACGGACGGAATAAATGGGATGGCACATGTGCATATTCATATGCATGTACTGTACATCATAGCATGTCATGCACCAAAATAATCATGCTCATCTTAGTCCTCGCCTTTTGGTCGGCATAGGTTGTTACATTTTTGGCTATCCGCATACTTCGTAGAAGCGTTTCCTTATCCTGGAGATCGCTTGATCACTGGCAGATACCGCCGTCGAGTCTACCGAACTCGCTCGGGTCATATCCGTCGGGCACAACATCGACAATCACAACAAAAGCAGCACCAGCAGCAGCACCAGCATGCAGCAGCACCAGCATCAGCAACAAATAGTAACCTCATCACCATCTCATCATCAACACACACAGCAACACCAACAACTCCGTCGCCACCACCGTCAACAACAACACTAAGGGCCGTCTTATATGCATACAAGCAGCTATTTCGCTTCCGAATTTCCAGATTTCCAAATCCGTAGAAGTTGGACCTCGATATGCGGCCCAGGGAAAACAGCGTAAACAGGAATATAGTAAATCTGGCAACCACTGGCACCGAAAAATTCGGGAACAATATTGAGTTCTGGAAAGTCGGACTTCGGTAATCTGGAAATTTGCAACCAAATCGTTGTGTATCAAACGGACCTAAGGCGGTTTCGTATAAACCTGGATTCCTTTCCCAAAAAAACTCACTTTTCAGGATGGGCAGAAATTCGGCTGGAAAAAAGTCCGGCCGTTCTTACAGTGAGCCGGATTCCTGAGGCAGATTCTTGGGGGCTGGGTGTACATCAACCCAGACGACAAAACCGGCGAGTGCGACCTGAGTTCTTGACGTATCGCTCCCATCAAGGGCTCCCAGCAACCCTACGCTGAAGGGCTTGCTATTATTCTGCATGCTGGCTGTTGACGGTCGCTCGGCACGCGTGCGAACAAAAAACATATCGCATCGCACCAAGCACTGGAGACGCCGCAACAGGCCAAACCGTCACGAGACAGCAAAAAGAGCCGCTTTTTGTCAGAGAGGGGAGGACACCGCAACTGATTTCTCGCTCCCTAGGCCGCCGATCGAAGCCAGACCGGTCAGGGCGTGCTCTCTGTTCCTTGCTCTCTGCCGGAGCAGCTCGTTGATCCAATCATTCGAAATCGTCTTCTGCGTGTACACAAGCTGTCTGCTGAAAATCGTTTTCAGGCCCTCAACACATCATTGCTCTATTCTCTAGTGAAGCATACCCGAAAAAAATCATAGTTCTAAAAAGCAACGGGCACCACGCGCATGCTTATCTCCGTCGATCGAGAGTACGCGCTGCCGAGCAACTCTACTCCGGCAGAGAGCAAGGAACAGAGAGCACGCCCTGATCGGTCTGGCTTCGATCGGCGGCCTAGGGAGCGAGAAATCAGTTGCGGTGTCCTCCCCTCTCTGACAAAAAGCGGCTCTTTTTGCTGTCTCGTGACGGTTTGGCCTGTTGCGGCGTCTCCAGTGCTTGGTGCGATGCGATATGTTTTTTGTACGCACGCGTGCCGAGCGACCATCAACAGCCAGCATGCAGAATAATAGCAAGCCCTTCAGCGTAGGGTTGCTGGGAGCCCTTGATGGGAGCGATACGTCAAGAACTCAGGTCGCACTCGCCGATTATGTCGTCTGGGTTCAGCCAGCGGTGAACTTTTTGGGATGAGAAATTTGGGTGGGCACCATCCTGATTTCTTCCAAAGTTTTCGGGTGGAGGCCACCCAAAAAGCTGAACCCAGATTTTGTCGACCCAAAAAGCTGAAGAATCTGGCTGTATAAGAAGCCGGATTTCTGCCCATCCTGAAAAGTGAAGCTTTTTGGGAAAGGAATCTAGGTGTATAAGAATCAACCTAGCCACCATAACCAATAACAACAAAAACATAAGACGACAACGACAGCAGTGCAATCATTACAGCAGCGCATACCTTTGCGGGTGACGTGAAGTGAGACTCCACCAGCTGGATGGCACCCAGACCTGCCGCCACTCCATCTGCCGCCACACGAGAACAAAAAACATAAAACAGCATTTTTGCTGTCTGTTTGCCTGCGTGTGTTCAATTTGTCCCCCTTCCTCGCAAAAAGAAACACCCCTGCACCAAGCAACAAGACCATGATCAAACGAGACTGGCGTTCAAGCATCTCTCCCACGAGAAAATGTGTTGATTATCCCTTCACTTTTTTTTTTTTTTCGTTGTTGTTTGCGACTTGAACCGCAACCTGTCATTGAAATCCGCCCCAGTTTGGGCACGGTTGTAGGCTTCCGTTCTCGATGTCGTTGTCTCAACAAGCAAGAACGGACCGAATTCAAGAGCAAAACCGAGAACCTCATGTTACCACACCACGCTGCCAACATATATGCCATTCATACCGAACGGGGCCAATCTGATACCACACCAATCCATACGTCATGTCACACCGTACATACACCATGTCATACACCATGCCAATCCAGTGCCTATCATTCCATACCATACCGCTTCATTCGCCATGTCATACTGTACCACGCCATGCCACCAATCCATATACCATGTCATAGAGCAGTACAACACCTACCGTATCCTATGTCGAATAACAAATTACCACACCACGACCCGCAACATCACTCCCACCCAGCAGTACAACACCCGCCGTACCTCGATCCGTCGCTCCCCCCCCCNAACCGCCTCGCCCCACCCCCCAGCTGCAACTCCTCCTCATCGTCATCGTCGCCCCCGCCCGGCCCATACCTCCCTCCTCTCGAGGGATCGGCCACCACATTGGGCTCCACCCAAGCATCGTCAGATATACCCCCCCCTGCTCCTCCCGCTGATTCTGCTGAGCCCCCTTCGCCGGAGCCGATGCCGTCATCTCCCGCTCCGTCTCTAAGCATCACCTGAGGGATTTGGGTTTACGAAGGGGTAGGGGTAAGGGGACCACGCGCCTTTGTTTCCCCAACGTGTCTCTTTGCATGTAACTCTGGCTTTCCGTCGTTTTATCCACGTGTCTAACCTGCCTCGTGTGCCCCACTGCCTCACCCACCCCCTGCCCTACGTAACACGCCTGCGATTCGCCTACCTCTGATACGTATCCGAAAACCTTACCCATCGGCCCAATTCTTCACACAGATAAAATAATACATTCAATCACAGAAAGACTACCCATTGGAGACAAAATACCACAGCGAACGGCAACAAAACCTGTTCCAACTATCTGCACATTTTGGTCGAACGCTGCCTTGGTGATTGTGACGCAGATGTCCGTCCCGTGTTTGGAAATAGTGAACTAGAAGTACCCGTTTATACCTACCGCAGGGGGAAAGAAACGTGGGGCAACAAAACACAAAACAAAAAATGAACAAAGCTACCGTGTGACCCCGGCTGATACGTCAGGCATATACGCCGAAATGCCTGTAAACCGGCGCCAGAATTGATGCGACGAACACACACACACACTTTTCTCGAACGGTCGGTGCGGTATCTGTTCTTTTCTTTTTATCATTTTGTTTTCTTCCCTGTTTTTGTTTTGTTGCCCCGCGGCGTCCTATGTGCCGGGTTTTGAGACCACGGGCTCCCCATTTTTTGTGGACCATAGAGCTAATATAATACGAGAAACAACAACACCAACAACACTACATACCTTGGTACAAGGATGCATACCCTTGCGAATGTGACGCCGACTCTCCCCGTCTCACCTCCGTGTCTCCAACGTACTCCCCCTCGAGGTCCTTCGCTCTCCTGTGACACGGTACTGCCAGATCATGCGGTCGTGCATCCCCATCATTACATCGTACAGCAGTGCCCCATCGCGTCGCCAAAACGCAGCGTGCCGGCAAGGATCATGCCACGCCAATATCGCACGCAAACAGCCGCGACAAGGATCACGTCACGCCAGTATCCCACGCAGCGGAAACAGACATCAAAAGCAGAGGCGAGGCCGCGATTAGCAACAGAAGCACAGATACAGACAACACAACACAGCAGTCGGTGGACCTCAATGGATCGGTGATGCTGCTGTATGCAATCAGACCAGGAGCGGTTCGTAGGGGGATCGTTCTCACCTTCGCGGGACGCGAGAACACTTGTCTGCTAGCCTCACGGCGTGTACCCGAACCCCACATTGCTGTCCACTAATCCGCCTCCGGCACAAAGACAAAACCACGCAAGATTTCCACCACCAACGAATCAATGCCCGTTCGACTGCGGCACATCAGGAAGAAAGCCCTTATAGCAACATACCATGATAGTACGAGCGGTGCTCTTTCTGCACCCTATTGTATCACCCCCCCCCCCC